CTGCCAAGATCGAGAAACAGTGCTCTAGAAAAGCGAAAAACACTGATTTAAATGCACTATTAACAAAGGGTAGCAGGTAGAGATTAAAACCCCACTTTTGCCGATGGATAACTCCTCTGCAGCCCCTCAAACGAATATAGCAGAAGACCCACCAGGAAAAAATCATCTTTTGCGCAACCAGCCACTTGCTCTTCAGAAGCACACAAAGAGGAGGACGACACAGACACCCATTTTCAATGGAGGCTCACGTCTGACCAAAACAGGGAAGATGTTCGGACTCGTCCCGCCGAACAGCCCAGCGAAGGCGGATGAGGAAGGAGAGTAAATCGACAGGGATTTAAAGGGAGCAAGCCGTACAGATTTTACAACAGCATGCTGTGCTCTGATAAAGAATAAAAAAGAATTTTATTTCATTTATTTCACCTTAATGGATATGTCAAAGCGCAAACAAGGAAAGAAAAAAGGAAGGAAAGGACACCCCCCCCCAAAAAAAATAAGAAATAGAAAAGAGATTTATAAGCTGTATAAAACTGAGTAAGCATTTTCAAAATAACCTTAGATTAGGAATTCATATAAAGGTGATTTAATCTATTAAAACCAAATTAATAATTAGCGAAGGCAGCCAATGTGATAAGAATTATCAGTCAGAATAACCAATGAACAGGAGGTTCAGTCTAATCTGAGAAAGTCTTATTATAAGGAATCCCGCCACATTTAGTATTTTACAGCCTTGAGAGGAGCCCAGACTTAGGATGCGTTGCAAGTCCACGGGCAGAATTTTAGTCCGTAAAGTAAAATTAGAAAATTGGTTTTCTAAATATCTAGTTATGTGGAACATGGATGCATACGCCCCTAGCATAGTCTGCCGTTCTCCGAAAGGAGGAATTATGTGGAATAAAATTCCTTTCAAGAGGAGTGAGGACCTGCTTCTAGAAGTACGCTTAAAAATAGACAGCTGACACGGCACTCCAAAAATTTGGAAGGGTGCAGGGTTTGGATCTGAACCAGGCAAGCCCGCTTTGCCTCGGAGGTGTGCACCCTCCCAGACAGGGGTGTCTGCAGCAGGTCAAAAAAGTCAAGATGGCACCCACAACGATGCCATCCAAGCCCTGCCCCTTTTTAATGTGTGTCTGGTGCCCGTTCAAGGAACCTTTATTTGAGCAAAGGGCTCAAACATATAATATAAATGACCAAAGTAATAGTGAAAATATAGTATAGTATATAGTAAAAGTATAGTGAAAATATAATATAAATGACCAAAGAAATAGTGAAGAATACAGATATAAAGTAGGGCCCCAAACCCAGATGACCGTCCTAGAGTTTCTTAGTAATATCAAGGCTACCCAAGACTTGATGGAGGCTTTAAATCCAAACTTAATCCCTGGGCTTCTCTAAAATCGCATTCCTTCCATAATGCTAATTATTTATTTCCACCAAGGATATACACGAGCCAAAACCACCAATGGAAAGTTGTAGGAACTGTAGGCTCGACAGTGAACCCGAACAATTTGAGAACATTGAAGAACAACTAACCCGTTAAAGCAGAAAGAAAGAAAAAGAAATCCCAGTGCAAAATAGAGCAGAGGGTGAATCATAATCAATACCTAATGTCGCCCTGAGAAATCCCAACAATAAATAGAATATTTCATTCCTGCATCCTTAGCAGTTCAACATGGCTGGGGAATTCTGGGAGTTGAAGTCCACCCGTCTTAAAGTTGCTGAGGTTGAGGAACCCTGCTTTAGAACGTAAAAACAAAGTGCTCTTTGTACATTGGGGTGTACATAGTTTGAAAAACACCGTCCAAGACAGTGTCCTTAGAATCGACCTATCTATCTATCAGATTTATATAGCCACCCATCTCACAAATGCGACTCTGAGCAGCATACAATAAAACAAGCAATTAAAAACAAGTCTAAAAGAACCATTCAAGACAATCCAACTATTAAAAGCAATTCCACACAAATATTTATGCCCCCCCCCCCGCTTTCTTGGCAGGTAATGATTTGGGTACCTTCCTTTTCTGCCGTGGCAGAACTACAGTGCCCACGAGTGAGTTAAACTACACTCAAGTGTGTCGCTTGATTCTTAATTTAGTTTAATTTATTTAATTATTTATTTAATTTTATTTATTTTATTTAATTTTTATTTATTTTATTCTATTTTATTTATTTATATTTATTTATATTTATATTTATTCATTTTTATTTATATTAATTTAATTTATATTAATTTAATTTATATTTAATTTAATTTATATTTAATT